ATGCAATAGTTCCATTGTTTCATGAATTTTGTGGGCAGTGGCATTATCTTGCTGAAAATATCCGTAACTCAATTCATCATTAAGTAACTGGTCAATGAAGGATCGCAACAAACTGTTTTAGTACCTTCAGCGTTCACTACCTTGTTGAAAAATATTGGACCTATAATTGCCTTCACGAAACTGCACTTGATACTGTGACGAAGACAAATGTTCATAATTCTTAGTTGTAAAATTGTGTCTCTCTTCTTCTCGAATCATACGAAGGTGCTAATTAGAGGCGGGAGCGCATTATCCTGCTAGAACGGAAATGTGATTGAACTGAGACAAGTGGGGAAAATTGCTGTTCTGGCAGGAGATGGTTTCCTGGCTCCAACGAGAACCCGAAATTAGTGGATGGCTATCTTCGCAACCAGCAGATCACGGAGCAATGTTAAGTACCAGTTTAAAATAATAAATCTAGTTTGAATTTTATTTCGGAGTTTGAAATTTGGGGTTCCTGGAAAATTGGGTTTGGAACGTGACAAATACGCTGATTTGTGGGGAATACAAAGAGTTGTTTAACCAATGCATGGGATTTTTCTCAAACTAAATTCGCATGGTCTGTTTATGTAGTCATAGATCCATTCGTCGCTGGTAAGGAAGGTTTTGACAAGAATGTCAACATTCATGAGGTTTTGAAACCACTTGCAATAATTAACCGCACAACATAATTCATTAGAATTATGTGATATTATGATTATGATAGACCATTTTAAAGTGCAAAACTCAAGCTTTTTTTCTGTGTTCACTGATGATACAAATATCAAACTAACAGGTAATTTTAATAAAAAACAACTGTACTGCTACAGTTTATCAAAAAATGATATCCATGACTGACCAGACGACGTTTTTTACGATCGTATGGTATATGTTGGCGATTACATAAATATATGCAATTTTCACTAAATATAGCGGTAGACGGCATGTTGTTATAAAGTTTTATGAGTGAAATAAATAAAGAAAATGTGATTTTTTGATGGAGAATCGTTAAAACGTCGAGTCTAACTGTAAACAAGGCCGACATACAAACATACTTATTTGGTAATTAAAATATCGAGCGTCATATCGCTCGTGTTGCACGCGTCGTAGTACCCTTATGTTTTTAAATAATAAGTTATATATGAGTGTTATAACCAGAGTTAGGCATAGCCGAAGTGATGGAGAAACAATCAGACAAATATTTAATACGACGGCGCGACGTCTGACCGAGTGTGCACTCTCATTCCCAGTGGCGTTTGATACAGTTCAGGGTTTATTTGATCAAGATCATCACGAAAATTGTGGTGTCCAACAGTAATTCTGGGCTCACTCACTACTGAGGAAAACCTAGAAAAAGTAGTAATTCTTATTAAAAATTCTCGAAGTTGTAGGCTACGACTGTAATAGTACTGGCGATCGAACGGTAATGATTATCAGTTCTGCTATGCCGAAGACTGGTTATAAATACCCCTTGACAACTAAATGATCTGTTAAGACAGAAAAACCGAGAAATGGGTTTGGTCGTGTTTATCACTAGTGTTTCTGTTGAATTTTTTTATAATACTTATTGTGGTGACCGAATTTAAATCAAAGTTTTCGCGCTGAAGTTATTTAACAGCGGCGCGAATTCACACTAGAACAATTTGAATTTGAAAAAAAATCATCAAAAAAAATCGTTAAACATAGGCAACCTGGTGCACGGAAACGTTTGCTTGGTAGTCGGACGAGTTAGCGCTAGGGGTTTTTAGTTGGAGGGTTGGTGGTTAGACAAAGGGTGGCATGGCGTAGCGTCAGTCTGAACGTGTCTTTGTGAGTGTAAACACGTGGTAACAGCTAGGTTTAAATTAGTTGGTTTGGTAGTTGATAAAATGGGAGGAAGCCTTTGTTTAACGACAATCAATCGTAGCCAACGTCACTCAGGTGTCCCCAACCCGCGCGGTTAATCCTTGGGGCCTTTTAATCGAAAAATTGCCGACTTCCGTTCAACGCGAAACACGTGCTGTAAATTTGTTATATTGTTTGAAAATTCACCAATCAAGTTAGTTTTTCTTAATGTCAGCTAGTGCAAACACAATTTAACAATCAGGATTATTTAAATAAACCACGTGCTAGAAGATTTCATGAAATTCACTTAGTCAGGAAAATACCTTGTTGTTTAATTACGAATAAGTTTCTGGATGCATATACGTAAGTGTTACATTATAACACTTCTAAATTCTTCACACAAGATTGCTAATAGTTCATTTACGGCATTTAAACAAGTTCATTATACTGCTAACTGGCGGGAGGGGTTTAAAATGTTTTCTTCCCTTAGGCGGTTATCAACGTTATTATCTTCGTTATCGTGACTACATCATCGAGGCAATTCCTCGCAACGCTACAGATTGATTAATTCATCGAGGCATGGCCTCGCAACGCTACAGATTGATTACTTCATCGAGATTCGTCCTCGCAACGCTAGAGATAAATAACATCAACGAGGCTTATTCCTTCCACCGCTAAAATATACATCATCGAGGCAATTCCTCGCAACGATTTAAAATTTACATCACCGAGACGCTTTTTCCTGGCAACAATTTTAAAATGTACATCACCGAGACGCTTTTTCCCTCGGAGTGATGATTGGATATTTTTGTGTTTGTTTATTAAGTGTTTTGTTGGGGGTAACCAGTTCGCGGTATTTTAAACTCTCAAAGTAAATTATTTTTTTAAGTAACCAATCACTTAGATCATGTTATTGTAAACTCTTTGTTTGAATCATTGAAAAAGTGTGGCAAATATTATCTCATGTAAATTTTGTTAACTTCGCAAATTTTCACCTCATATAATATTTTAAACTCACAATTTTAACCTCAGTAATTTTCCTTTGTTGTATAATTTTAATTGAACGTAAATTTCATTCTCTACAGTTTTAACCTAGCATAATATTTATATTTGTACATGTTCATTTCACACCAGATCTTTTGTTTCATAAATCCTTGTTAAGTTTGCTTTGTAAATACTTTGTTGATGATGTTTCTATCATATAAATTATTTGATGTCCAATTTTAATCTCACATAAGAATTATTTGTTGTTCAAAGTTTCTCAAGATTGTATGGCGAATTTAAATGTTGTTTATTGCTCGTTGAAACTTTAACACTTGTTCAGTTGTTGTTAATATCAGAGTTGATTGAATATTTAAAAATGGAATTGAAGTTAAATGACACAGAAAACGTGGCAGAAGCGAAGTTCGGTTCCTAGTCGAGCTGGCCGGATCTATCGTGTCACCTGTACAAGTCCACAGGTTTGGATACCGTTGGCGACCATAATGGACTAGTTTCGCACAGCATGATCGTAATGGGGGTGCTTGCGGGTAGGCTTTGCGATAGATAGAATCACTATCGTGGGGGGAGAACAGCTCCAGACCGGTAGCCCCAAACTCCGCTTGTGCTAGCACGCCCCAGGGGTACTTTTGTTGTGCTCCTGTTAACTGCTGTAACTTTAAAATCTGACGCCACATGTCCCTAATAACTTGTATATTTGCATCCAGTTACTTTATTTCAGATTTTGCTTGGTTTATTAAATTTGTGATATTCAAATATTTTCATTGTTTCCAAACAGATGTATAGAAATTTGCGTTTGTTCGTTTTTCATATGTGTATGTCTGTCAATTCGCTAGTGTTTTTTTTGTTCATATATCTTAAGGTGTTCGAAATGTAATATATCTGTGAATATAGTCCTAGGGGATTTTTGGGAGTGAAGACCGATGACGACTTGGCCCTGCGGGACCGCCAGAAGGGCACGCTGAGTCACTTCCGCTCCTCGTTTCTTTTCCTCCTAAGGAAGGGTGCCATTTTGACCCCTCCCTAATTTTTGTCTATTATTTGTAGCGCTCTCGACTCACACGCAGTGTATGCATTTGTATGAAAGAACGTCTTCCCACCACTTTTCAAAAAAGAAATCACACACAACGTAGGTTCCCATTTGTTAGACGATCACAGCCAAGGCCAAACTTTGAATTTTTTAATTTTATGAGGGGCCTTTCAAACGTTTTCAAGGTCAATTTAAAGGCGGGAAGTTTGGGTTATTACATTATTGATCTAAAATAAAAAATATAAAAATTTGTTTGTTAATGATTTAATTTTTTGTTCAGTAAGAATAACAATAATAAACAAACATTTCTAAGAGAAAATTAAAATTCAATTTTGTTGCTAATTTTTATTTCGTTTTATATACATAATATGCTGATTTGATTTTAACTGAAAAGTCAAACATTTCTTACAGATAGTCAATAACTCTACTTTACGTAGAAGAAACCATGTTAGCTAAAGGGCGGACAAAAACTTTAACATATTTGACCATTATATGAGTATGACGTAAAGAATGGACTACATTTTCTCAGAAAATTTTGGGAATACAAAACTGTTATTTTTAGTATTACACTCAACCAATTCAATTTGATATACATGTCCTTGTTTTTTCTTGCACTGGTAATACGCTGTGACTATTTTTCTTTTGTGCTGTGACTAGTGTTATCCATGTTTTATGACGTCGTTACAAATTTTTTATTGGAAGTGGGAATGCGAAAACACACACAGATCGGCACTCCTGTCCATAAGAAATTTGAAAGACGAATTTCGTCTTGACTCTAGTAAGAACAGCTTCAGTTTTTATAGATAGCGTCTTCTACATTGCAGCTTTTCCCAGAGTTAGCTTCAAATTTAAATTACTCAATCCTGTTTCAGACATAGCAGGACTAAAACTAAGATATTCCTTATAAATAACTCACCGATTTAAGAATTGTTATAACAGTCGTAAGGCCCCACAATTAATAAAAGAAAAGTGAAAGTTAAAAGAGTTATATTTAAATTGATGAAAAGAAAATGAAATTGCAAACATCGTAAGTAAGTGAATTCTTTAATAGTATCGATAGATTATAAATGTTTAAAGCTTACGAATATGGAGGAATAAAGTTAATATAATTCTAAAATTTGCACACCTAGATATTGGTATTTATTACCACATTATTTTATATAAATTATTGTTTTCATTTAAATATAAATATAAAGATAAAACACAACTGTGTTGGGAAATAAGCCGACTCTTTCCTTAGCAGTTCTTAAACGCAGTCATTAATCTTTTCCCCAACAGGTTTAATAGTAAGCTCAGGGATCTAGAACAAATGCACTTAGCCATAAAAATACAAACATTTTAACATACTTGAACATGTTCTGGTGTAGATAAGGCATACACAACGGCATCAGCAATATCTTCACTTTTTAGAAAAGGCATCTTTTCATAAACAGCTTTCATTTCCGGGGTTAGATTCGGATGTAAATTAGTCATTTCACTTTCAACCATACCAGGACTAACACTCTTCAAAAGACAAATTCAACACCAAATCACACCAATCAAAAAACTTACAGTAACTTTGATTTTAAGTCCTTGCTGGTTTAATTCTTGTCTTAAAGTTTCAGTAAGAGCAGTAACAGCAAATTTCGACGCACAGTAAACGCTTGGACCTCTAAAATTAAGCACTTGGTGACCTGCAACGCTATTCATGTGTATGATGTGGCCGTTGATTTGGTTCTCTTTCATAACTTTGACTGCTTCTCTTGTGGCCATGCTTAACCCAAGAACGTTTAGATCAAAAACTTTTTTCCATTGTCTAGTTTCGCCTTCTGTTAAGTTTGCCTTGGCTCCTCTTCCGGCATTATTGATTAAAATATGAACGGGTTCCAAATTATCTTTAGCCCATTTAAAAGCTTTTAAAATATCCTCTTCTTTGGTTAAATCAGCTTTGATGGCATGAAGTTTTCCTTGTTTGTTTGAAAGTAATTTAGCACTTTCTTCTATACGTTCAGAGCGGCGAGCTATGCCGAGTACCTACAAATGATATTTGAGACACTCATTAAATGGAGTAATTGATGATTGAACAGTTAAGCCTTTTTCGACTAGCGCATTTGCAATAGCAGCACCGATTCCAGAACTAGCACCCGTGACTATGGCAACTTTGCCTACCCATCTATCCATGGAAAGTACCATTTTTAAAATTATTGTGTTGGTGTGTGCTATTCGCGCTATTCAACCGTCACAAAATGTACGCAAATATGCGTTGGTGAGTTTCGTATTCTTATCGCTATACCCAAGTCTTAGATTTACTGTTGTTTTCAAGTTTTACTATTGGTATAATTAACCACAGAAAAGTCCAACATAAATTTAAATGTGATATGTGATAACTCTTTATTTTTATGTTACAGTGTCAGTAATACTTATAAACCCGGAAAAATATATGGTTATTAACACAGTAGTAAGTAATATATCATTCGTGATTAATGCGTCTTGGTTTCTTTGTATTTAAAATGATTATCGCAAGTACCTACTAAAAGTTATCGAATTGCAGGGACGACAAAGGCGGTAATTGTGGCTGTTGGAACCTAGGTTACTGTTCTGAAACGTATTTAAATACCACATATTCAAAAAAAAACGTCGTCTAGACGGCTGTGAAAATAATTTAGATAGTTGTTTACATCACAAAAGTCCTATGAATCGAGTGATACATAAAATTTTGGTAGCAATTTTTATATGAATAAAATTGTTATTGAACTACTATATCCTAAACTGGATGACTTTATGAAAACAGGACATACCTAACGCCCGAGGACGGCGAGTTTGTGTTTCGCTTAGTGCTCATTTCTTTTTTTCTGGGGAGAATGTGGGAGCTGTTCAACCATTGTCTTCGTTGATGCGATTTTGAAACCACTGACAATAATAAACGCGTCTTGAATCATTTACAGGTTTGAGTTTCTGCACACAACTGCTCCTGTTTCAAGAAATTCTATCAAGGCATCGTTGAATCTTCAACCGCGAATTTTTAGAAGGGATAGCTAAATTGGAAAATTGTTCGCGAAATTCTTCCATTCATTAGACATTAAGACAATTCTTTCTCAATAATTTTGAATAAAAAATTCAAAGCTCTGTTTCTAGCATTTTTCTGTTACACTGACAATACAAATATCAAATATCCACTACAGTTATTAAAAAATGAATTCCAGGACTGACCAGACGATGTTTTTTGTTCGTTCGTATTGTAGATACCGACGATTATCTAAATGTATGTAATTTTTACACAATACAGCGACATACATCATGTTGTTCTAATGTTTTATTACTGAAATAAATAAATGAAATTTATGTTTAACCATGGAAAATTTTAAGCCTTAAAATGTCGGCCGTAAATGTGAACACTGACAACATATCTGCCAATTAAGATGCCGAGTGTCATATCGCTCGTGTTCCACGCGTCATAGTACCTCTGTGCTTTTAAATTATGATAATTCTCTGATCTTATGACTACAGCTTCACAACTAAGTGATTTGTTAAAACAGCAAAACTACTACACTATAATGTTTGCATTAATGCCATAATACATATTGGTCTAAAATAAAAATACATATTTATTTGTGAAAAAAGTAAATTTTTTGTTCAACTTTTAAAAATAGCACTAACAATGGATTTAATTTATCCGCAATGTCGCCCATATAGCATTTGGGGGTGACGTACCTCGGCGCCGCGTCCTGGGCCGACTAGTGCTCTAAAACGAACACGCCTGACCGGCCTAAGGGATGTGGTCACCTTTACGTAACCGGGGGTGGCGCCTAAGTTCGGGAGCGGTGTGCTCGGGTGCCAGCTCCTTTTTCGGAGAGGGAGCACCGGGGTTGCTCTTAAGCCGGAGACACGGATCTCCAGAACGTTTCGTGAGCGTCCGCGAAAACAAACAAAATAATACACCGGAAAGTTGTTTACAAAAATCGGTTTTTTATTTCCCCCCCACCAGGTACACCAGGTACAGTGTCTGCCAAATCCCATGGTCCAGTTTTCTATAGCCGCGACTCTACGTTAAAGAGTTTGTGAAATCCTTTTTGACGACCGTTTTAGAACACCTACGAATATGTTTATCATAAATAAATTGCCTTTCAATTGATATTTTTCAAAAGAGAGCGAGAATTTTACGTTTTTCATTAATAAGTTTGATAGTGTTAGGCTTACACTAGATTGGAAGTGATGAATATGTGGTCTAAATTTCGGAACACGTCCATAGCGGAAATAAAAAGAGTCAGTTGAAACGTTTATGTCATTATAGTCTTGCAGAGATTTCCAATATAGCGAAGAAAAGTAGTCACTTAATGCATTATAGTCAACATCTTTAAAAATGTAATGCCAACTTGACAATGGAGCAATGGAGTGTATTAAATAGGGTAAATTAATAAGTGTCAAAAGTGGCGGATGATGGGAGTCGATTCGAAGTAAACCATGTGATCCATTCTTTACAATGGTGTTTAGTATTGAACTAAGTACCGTGTGTTCACTAATTATTTGGATCAAAGAATGCTGTGCGATTTTGAACGTATGTCTCTCGATTTCGGATACTTTTCAGAATATGCAATTATAGAAACGCATGTGTAATGTTGAGTGCATACTGACATAATCAATTTATAAACTCTTGCTAGGTGAAAACTAGAAAGACTAGGTCGAAGAAAATAACTACATAACATTCTCCTGTATACATAAATTGATAGGTCTTTTCATGTTATCAAATAACTTGTGTAGTGTTGCAAGAGTAATGCGAGGACACTCCTAGGTAATTCTGTGTTTCAGTTCTTCTATGGTGTGAATGGTAGTTTTAAAAATAGTATTTTTTGATGACCGACCAAGGAGTAACCCAGAGAGGTTAAATCTGGTGGACTTGGGGGTACTCAGGAATTGAATGTAAATGTGTCACTCTATCATCAAAGAATTCACGTAAAAAATTCAAATCATCTACTGTTGTATGTGCCGTGGCACCATCATGTTGAAAAAATCCGTGTTGGAGTTCATCATCCTGTAAACCTTGAACAAAAGTAGTTAGGATATTGTTTCGATATCTTTGAGACCAACTGTATCAGGCAACTGTACGACAGATGAAGGGGTGAAGCACGGTTTTCTTAAAATGTGTTTTTTAACTGTTTAACATACGTTTTTCAATGTTTACAATAAATAGTTGAAAGTGTAAACAATTTTTGTTATAGTAGATTTTTTAATTTCGAAATTATCTGAGGTATTTCATTGAAAGTTGATGCCTTAAAGGTGAACTTCTGAGTAGAATTTATTCTACCATATATGAAGCAAATGTTTCTATTTAAACGTCCGACACCTTGACATAATCAGCTTTTTGGGAATGGGAGTGAAATTTTGTTTACTCATTCTGGTTTCAGCTACACCAGGGCTAAAATATTTTCATAATATAAGTATTGCCAGACATTAAGATTTTAAAAATCAGACAAATTCCAATCAAACTCCACCACTTGTGTATATAATCAACAGGTTCGTATTTATTACTGGATCATATTATTTACATAACTCATTGCTTTAACTTAAATACAAAAAACTACGTCCCGAAATAAGTCTACATAAACGGTTCTTGAAAATCCTATTAAACGTTTTCACCAAGAGGCCTAATGGTAAGTTCGTGGATCTAGAAAAAAGACAACAGCTACACAAACGACAAACATTCTAACATACTTACTTGAACATGTTCCGGCGTAGATAACGCATACACAACCCCATCAGCAATATCTTCACTTTTCAAAATAGGCATCTTAGCGAGAACAGCTTTCCTTTCTTCAGGTATACTCGGATTTAAAGTACTCATTTCGCTTTCAACCAGACCAGGGCTAACACTCTGCGAACGAGAAAATCAACAAGTATTCATAAAAATTACAAAACTTACAGTAATTTTGATTTTAAGTCCTTGATGGTTTAATTCTTGTCTTAGCGTTTCAGTGAGCGCTGTAACAGCAAATTTCGACGCAGGGTAAAGGTTTAGATTTGGAAGATTCAACACGTGGTGACCCAAAACGCTGTTCACGTGTATGATGTGGCCATTGATTTTGTTCTCTTTCATGATTTTGACAGCTTCTCTTGTGGCAATGCACAACCCTAAGACGTTGAGATCAAAAACTGATTTCCAGTCTTCAGTTTTGCCTTCTGTTAAGGGTCCGTAAAGTCCTCGTCCGGCATTGTTGATTAGGATGTGAACGGGTCCTAATTTATCTTTTGCCCATTTGAAGACATTCAAAATATCTTCCTCTTTGGTCAAGTCGGCTTTGATGGCATGGAGTTTTCCTTTCTTACCTGAGAGTTGTTTGGCACGTTCTTCTATACGTTCAGAGCGACGAGCTACGCCGAGCACCTAAAATAATAATTACGTAAGATATTTTTTAAATGAAATAAAAATGGTTTTACGATTAAGCCTTTTTCCACGAGAGCATCTGCAATAGCGGCACCGATTCCAGCACTAGCACCAGTTACTATGGCAACTTTGCCCACCCATCTATCCATCGAAAGAACCATTTTTATGTGACGATGCTGAAGTGTTTTGCTCGTTGAAACTAAGCTAATATCCGATGCTACGTCCTTTATATTATAAATCCGTTATTATCTAATCGCATGAATTTTTTGCCATGATGCAGCAGATTTTAGCAACTCATATTTTACTAGTGAAATACAGGTTTAAATCTAATATTTCGTTATTCTTAAATCTGAAAATTGAAACAATATGGATGAATACTGGCGAATTATCTGGTAGCCGATTAAGATTTTCCTCATGTTTGCTCGGAGGTGTCGTTAACTTTCTGAATTTTAATAGGGAGTATTATTTTGTCTAGTATATTTATAATAACTAAGTTTTGTTTGACAACTACGTGATTTGCCAGGTGACACAACAAGTTTTTGTATCTGCAGGAATGTTTTCGCATCCATTTTTTTTTGGACAAGGGCAGAATAATTATGTTGGACTAGTAAACATAGTGTTACGTTGCACCGGTGATGCGGTAACAAATACTGTTTTATACAGTATTGGTAAAATTCTACGTAAATTTTATATTTCTATTAACTGGGTTCTTTCTTTAGTGTAAAATCCCCGAACACGAAAATTTTATTTTTTACAATAACACTTTTTGACTTAACAATTTATGTTTTGTGACCAGTTGCTTTTGCATCGTAACGTAACGTTTTTTTTTTTGTGGCAACCTCAAATTTTCTCATTTTTATTCGAATTTGGTTCTTGAGATCGTCCAAATTGTTTAATCTATTACGTAAACAGTATATTTTAAATAGTAATACAACAAAAAAATCAAGGATCGTTAAATCTGGCTAACGAGCCGGCTATTCAAGACTTTTTCGCCTCAAACAATTTACAGCATTTTAAATTAAATAGACCAAAATGAAGAATACATCGCGAATCCCGTTATCCTTTATACTTACTAAAAACACATCAAGTACATATTAAGTAGGTAGTATAATCGAAATCATAATAACATGGTTCTGCTGCACACTTGGCTGTGAGAGGACTATCCGAGAATAAATATTCAAAATTTAAGTTGTAGAACACATAAATGATAATGGATAATATAAAATAAGTACAAAATACCCTCTCCCTCTTCGAAACCACGATGAGGTTTTTGTAACTGATAATAACTTTCAGAACGGATCAATCGAACGGAAACCCGATTTTCGTAACTTATTGGGTTTTCGTTTTATGCCTTCGCAATATTTAAATTAAGTCAGAGGTACTACTATTTGTTCTTAAAATTCCCAAATGAGATGTCACTAAATCTAGATAACAACTTAAGGGAAACCATCCTGTCCTTTAGGCATATCATCACAATTAAAATAATTAAGCCTGAATAAGTAGCTGCAGCAAAACAGAGGTGGCAAAACAAATCTTACTAAAACAAAAAAAAGTTTATCGTACCCTACGAATGAGAAACTAATTCGAAAAATTCTTTTCAGTCAATTTATATTCATCAATCGATCAAGGTCTTAGATTGTGCCTTCTCCGAAATTTTTATAAAAAAAAATGGTAAATGTTAGATTAATAGCATGGTTATACGATTAATACAAAGTTACCTATGTCATTTATATCAGGTAATATGTTTGAATAGAGAGGTTTTAAAAAAACGAGAAGATGCAATATGGGGTGGTTCAAGGATCAATCTTAGTTGTGAGCACCGAGCGTATACGATACGTACATAATTAAACTTCAACGTACTTAGTTCGAAAGAAAACACATACATAAGTTCTGGCATTTATTATTACTTCATTTTATATAAATTCCTGTCTTATTTCAAACATAGAACACTACACTTCATAAAATTAGTAAATGGTTTCGTTAAACTTCTTAAATACTCTTCATCTTATCAAACGTCTTCACCAACAGGTTTAATAGTAAGCTCATGGATCTACAAAAAATCGAAAATAGCTACTCAAAAGATAAATATTTTAACGTACCTGAACATGTTCTGGAGTCGATAGAGCATACACAACACCATCAGCAATATCTTCACCTTTCAAACTAGGCATATTCTCCAGAGCAGATTTCCTGTCTTGAGGTAGATTCGGATTTAAGGTACTCATTTCGCTAATAACCAGACCAGGACTAACACTCTGCAAAATACAGAGTCAACAACAAATCATACCAATTAGAAAACTTACAGTGACTTTGATTTTGAGTCCCTGGTGGTTTAATTCTTGCCGTAAAGTTTCAGTGAGAGCGGTAACAGCAAATTTCGACGCAGGATAGACGTTTGAATTTGGTATAGCTAGCACTTGATGACCCAGAATGCTGTTCACGTGTATGATGTGGCCATTGATTTTATTCTCTTTCATGACTTTGATAGCTTCTCGAGTGGCAATGCACAGTCCTAAGACGTTTAGATCAAAAACTGATTTCCAGTCTTCAGTTTTTCCGTCTGTTAAGAGTGTATAAGTTCCTTTTCCGGCATTATTGATTAGAATGTGAACGGGTCCTAAGTTGTCTTTAGTCCATTTAAAGACTTTCAAAATATCTTCCTCTTTGGTTAAGTCAGCTTTGATGGCGTGGAGTTTTCCTTTCTTGCCGGAAAGTTGTTTGGCACGTTCTTCCACACGTTCGGAACGACGGGCTACTCCTAGAACCTAAAATGATATTTAAGATTTGTATTTATTTAATGAGATAAAAATATATTTACGATTAAGCCTTGTTCGACAAGAGCATCTGCAATAGCGGCACCGATTCCAGAACTTGCACCAGTTACTATGGCAACTTTGCCCACCCATCTATCCATGGAAAGAACCATCTTCAATACAAAGTTGTCGATCGTACTATTCGTTGAAACTAAATTAATCCACTACAAGATGTGTTTAAATATATATCAGTGATTATATATACTTAAAAGTTATCTTTGCCATGATACAGCAGCTGTTAGGTATTGGTGTTTTGGAGTTTTATAAATGAATTATTATATAACATTGTGTAATATGTTGCAATGAGATAACTCGTTATCTTTAAGTATTAAAAATGTCCACAGTGAATATAAACACAGAGAAAGAAATATTGGACTTAAGTTTCTTCTAAAAATCATTAGATTCCACTTTGATCCACGTAGAAACAGTAAAAACAACCAGAAAGCGGAATAGGGGTGAAAATTAGCCACAGTGTCAAACGGTACACTGAAGAATTCATAAAACACAAAAGCAAAACGTTGATTCAAATCTTTAAGTGCAAGAAAAATTCCATTGAAAATGATAAACATGAGATAAGACTTGAAACAAAATTTCTTGAGCAATGTGCGAGTTGGAAAAACCCGAAAGACACAAACATATGAACTCAAGATGGTTGCTCTTCCAAACTAAAATTTCCTGTCATTGACGTTTTTTGAAAATTTTAGGTCATTTGTTATGACGTCATAAACATAGGTAATACAGAATAGGGTCCAGCAATTTCCGCGATTACGTGTCTAATAAAAATGGATACACACAATAGACAGACTGACAGACGGAAAGGAGAGACTAGTCGCGAAAATAAAAAAGTGATGAGCATTTGCGTGGATCTTCTATCAACGCGCTGAATAATTCCCACACACTGTTGAATCATTTTAAAGATAACGGAATAAACTTCAACAAACTGCCTTTTCTGTTACTATTTTAGAGCTGATTTTTTTAATGTTAAAGTATTTGTATAATTTTTTTTATCATTTCTGTACTACAAAATGTGGCAAGTGGTTCCGGTACGTTGTTTGAATGTTGCAACAGGACATTAAGTTATAATGCCTGCACAAAATTGCATAGTATTTTCCGTAACAGCTATCTAAATGTTAGTACTACTTGTAGACCCCGAACACAAAAAGTGAACCTTTAAAAGCCTGAAATTGATTAAGATGATGATTTTGCAATGGCTGAAATGCCTTCAGTTAAAAAAAAGTTGAAATCGTTTCATCCGTTTGGGAAGTAGGTCATGGAAGTGTGCCGCTTATCACTTTATATGGACTTCACGAAATGCCCAAGGACTCACGACAAATGCCGCACGCATTTGTATAACTAGTTGACTAAATTCTTCATATCTTAAAAAATAAAAGTAATTCATTATAATAAAAAGAAACAAATTTATTGTTGTTAAACATTGCAGTAAATGTTGAAAATGTTCCCAATTTTGTTCAACGCACATATTCCCTCTCTTTTGAATTTGAAAAAATTGGTCTAAAGAGTTTAGACAGTACTTCCCTCGCTGTCGGAAACGTGGCGACGGCATGCCTATTATGTTTTATTTTCTCATTACATTTTTGTAGCGGAGAATTAAAAAAAAATTTGCGATGATGTCATCAACATTTTTCCAAGGACACGTATATCAGTTTGGATAGATGTAGTGTAATACTAAAAAAAGTGGCTCGCAACCGATGTTACGCATCGCGAAGAAGATTGTAGTAGAAACGTTTCTGTTGTATACAATAAAATTTTAGAATGTCATTACGAGGGATTGGCTAAGCTGTTCACTCACTGAGTGTCCGATAGCCTTGGCGTGCGCCGCTATTGTTCAACCAGAAGAAGGGTAGCTAAGAACCGCTCGGTTACTGGTCTTACACTTGTCCGGTTTTCAAATTACAATTTATGGTGGGTATGAACCGCTGTGAAGTTAACTGGCTTAAACCAAAGTAAAATTTTATTGTATACAACAGGAACGTTGTCACTGTATGAGAAAACTGACGTTAACTGAACGTCAGTTGATGATTTTAAAATCCATATCAACGACATAATAACAATAATATTTTTAATAATTTTCAAGTATAGGTCTCGCTGAAAATAAAACTATTTCTGTAAATTATGAAAAATGATGCATAATTGGAAAGCGAGAAGCGAGTAAGGCAAGGATGCACCGGCCGCACTTCAGACGGGTAGATAGGATGAATAAATTTCGACCGCCCAGCTTTATTTATAAACAACGACGTCATAGCAAAACGTATTTGTGCGTGATGTTCGACGTCCCGCAGGCTGTTGAATGCGCCATATCAACGGATATACATTACATAGGAAGAATGTCACGTAGACATTTGTTTGATTTGAATGAGTTTATCGCTCCAAAACAGATGACTAAAATTATTCATACGCCTGCATTGACAAAATATTCTGAATGTTATTATTATAATTCTTACCTTATCATTATTTTATTCTTATAAAGACGAGCGTATTCTCACATTTTCCAGAAAATGGGGTGACTCATTCATAATTTGATCAATAATGAATTGACAGACTACATACGAGAAGTAACGCGTAGATGCTAGAAGACGCATTGGCGTCGTACCGGGGCGGCGTATGGGCTTATTTCATAACATTGCCCCCTCCTTAGTTCTGATCGTCCCGATCAGAAACGTCCGACTGTGTCTCTGTTGTACTCCATGAGACGGTCTAAATGGATGATATTCATTTTCGTCTTCGGCCCTCGTCGAATTCTGTAAACGACGTCGTTGATTCTCGTCACAACAGTATATGGACCTTCCCAGTCTGGTGATAATTTCGGGCAACGACCCTTCCTTCTTCGGGGATTATAAAGCCATATCAAATCCCCTGCCTGGAATCGTACTGAGTTACCCTTAAGGTCGTAGCGTGTTTTCATTCTGTCACTCGCCACCTGGATCTTGCGGCGCACCGTTTCGTGAACGCTCAGGAGCTTCTCCTTTAAGTCATCGACGTAATCTATGACCTCCTTTGGTTCTTCACTCGGAGAGCCGAACAAGATGTCACAAGGCAGACGAAGTTCTCTCCCAAAAACTATCCGCGCCGGTGTCGGACCTGTCGTGTCATGGACAGCTGATCGATAAGCCAGTAGGAACAGTGGGAGATGTCGATCCCAGTCTTTCTGATGCTCGGCCACTACTTTCGCAAGATGTTCTTCCATGGTACGATTGAACCGTTCTACCATTCCATCCGACTGCGGGTGCAACGGGGTAATCCATGTCTTCCGTATCCCTAGTACTTCGGTAACCCTTTGGAATAGGTTTGACTTGAAGTTTCTTCCTTGGTCCGAATGGAGTTCAACTGGAACCCCAAACCTGCTGATCCAGTTGTCAATAAGCGTTGATGCAACCGTCGTGGCTTCTTGGTTCCGTATGGCATAAGCTTCGGGCCACTTGCTGAAGTAATCGCTGACGACCATTATGTACTTATTCCCGTCCTCGGTCACCGGGAAAGGACCTGCTATGTCCACTGCGATTCTTTCGAAAGGCGAACCGACATTATATTGTTGCATAGGCCCTCTCGCTCTAGTCCTAGGTCCCTTGACCGCCGCACAGGTCGTACATCTCTTGCACCAGCTCTCAACATCTTCTCGACAATGGACCCAGTAAAATCTCTCCCTAACTTTAGCAAGCGTCTTGTTGATTCCAAAATGAGCACCAGAACCACCGTTGTGCATTTCTCGAAGTACTTCCTTGGTTCTAATGGCCGGAACAACCAACTGCATGGTGGTATGTTTCCCATCCGGACTCTCCCAAGCTCGCTTAAGCAATCCATTCTCAACACGCAGGGAATCCCACTGAGCCCATAACGCCTTGAAAGAGGATGACTCATCTGGTATCTCCGACCAAGCTGGTCGTTCTATCCCATCTTCTTTCCATTTGAGCAACGGCCCAATATCCACGTCCTCCTCTTGGTCCTTTCTTAATTTGGCGGTAGTCCATTCTTCATCTTCCACAACTGCTGTCCTCCCACAGTTGAACGACGTTTCACGCTTGTTCGATCTTCTCGCAGTGTTTACAATTCTTACACGGTCTTCTCGACAAGGAATCCGCATTATTGTGAAGCTTACCAGGCCTGTGTTGAATTTTGAAGTGATACTGTTGGAGTCGTTCAAGCCATCTAACCACTTGTCCTTTGGGATTCTTCATCTGAAGGAGCCATGTAAAGGCTGCGTGATCGGTTCTAATAAGGAATTCGCGTTTGTAGAGACACTTATGGAAATGTTGGACAGCCCTGACAATCGCCAGCAACTCCTTCCTCGTAGCACCGTAGTTCTTCTCGGGTTTCGAAAGTACGCTGCCGAAGTACTCGATGACTTTTTCTTCGTTGTCCTGCACCTGTGACAATACAGCACCTATTCCGATGTTGCTCGCGTCCGTGTCCAAGATGAACATTCCAGATAATCGAGGATAGGACAGAATGGGACTAGAGCATAGTGCGTTCTTCAATCTCTTAAACTGCGTCACATTCAGCAGTCCAAATGAACTGAGAGTTCAAATCCGTCAGCCGGTGCAGAGGAGCAGCAATGTCAGCAAACCCGTTGACAAACCTTCTGTAGTACGTGCACAATCCCAAGAAACTTCAGACTTTGTGTTTATCTCGGGGCCTTGGCCAATCACGAATCGCTTTCATCACTTCTTCGGATTCAACTTCAAATTTGGCTCCTTCATTCGGCTAAATACTTCTTCTAAGTTGGTCAAGTGCTCCTCAAATGTTTTTCTCATTACCATGATGTCGTCTAAATAAACCAAACATGTGTTCCATGTTAACCCTCATAATACCATCTCCATCAGTCTTTCAAAAGTAGCCGGAGCGTTACATAGTCCAAAAGGCATTACGGTAAATTGATACAAGCCACTACCGGCAGAAAAAGCGGTCTTTTCCTTATCTTCTGGATGGATGCCAACTTAGTAGCCGCTTTTTAGGTCTAACGTGGAAAACCAGGCCGATCCTGATAGTGTTGTGAGCGTGTCATCAATTCGTGGAAGCGGGTAACTGTCCTTCTTGGTTACATCGTTTAATTTTCTGTAGTCTACCCAGAATCTCGTCGATCCATCTTTTTTAGTGACTAGAACTCCAGGCGAAGACCACGGACTATCTGATTCCTCTATAACGCCGTCATCAAGCATTTTCCGTAGAAGTTTCTCTGCCTCTTCTTGTTTTGCCAAAGGTAGTCTTCGCGGAGCTTGACGGATCGATTGTGCGTCTCCAGTGTTTATCCGATGTCGCACTAAGTTTGTGCGCCCAGAGGACTCCCCAGATGCAAACATTCAACTGTGTTTCTGCAGAAACTCTCTTGCTACGTTCCGTTGATGATCGGCTAGATGACCAAGCTCTAGGGCAGGAATTTCTAAGTTGCTTTTTCTTTCTTCATCAGTGTTGTCAAGAAGTTTTCCGTTATGATGAACTATCTTCGTGACTGGTTCACAAACGGCAAGAACCTCCCCACTCTTGATGTTCCTGGGTTTGGGAAAAACATGTACAGGTATGTCATTTTCGGTATTGATTAAGGCACTAGCAATCATGAGATTCTTCTTGGGGATGTATGGCGGTTGAATAATGCGGAGAGCAAATCCGGGTTCGATTTCTGCTTTAATTGGGACAATCGTCTCTGCATTCGCTTTGACTTTAACATTCTGGCACGCGATCAATCTTACAAGCTTGGATTCAATACTGCGTTGATTCAGGATAAACTCTCATTGCCAAGACGTAGGACTTTCTCCACTGGATCAACCGTCAATCCATGGCGGCTAATCAAATCCATTCCCAGCCACGAGAGCGCGATGTCTTATCTTCAGCTGACCAATGTGGATTTCTACTTCTGTCTGGTGCGTGATTGGCGCCGATTCTCCAGTAACTGTTTTGAATCTAATCGTCTCGGATGAAGTCGCTAGGTATTTAGCTCTAACGAGTCCTCGCCGTATAATTGATACCTCAGCGCCAGTATCGATCGTGATTGCTGCAAGAGCTCCATTAATCTTGCCCGGTATAGTTGGACAACTGCTTTTGGTGAAACTGCTTATTTTCACTTCTCTGGGGGCCTTATTCCTACCAGCCAGCACATCCCCCAAAATACTGGCTGTTTTTAGTTATCCTGTAGATTTTGGTGAGGTCTGTGTTGTGAGCTTCTCCTTGGAGCTGGTGATCGGGCACGACAATCGCGTTTGAGATGTCCCTGGCGCCCACATCTGTAACACTCCATGCTTTTCTTAGGTGGGGCACCATTCTCTCGTCCTTAGGCCAGGCCATTTATTATTTGCTGTGAGAACTTTTCCAACAGCTTTTCTAACTTATCGTTTTCTTCCGTCTCTAATTCTGCCACTCTGACCTTGTGTCAGGTTCTTGAAGAGTTGTACGCCGCCTCCACTTTCAGCGCACGAATCAAGGCCTCCGATGATGTCTGGTACCTTGACAATTGTAGGACCTTCTTAACTTTACCGTCGCGAATGCCACTTATGAAGATTTCTATCGTAAGCATCTCCTGAAAAGTTGATGGTGCGTTGGTGTATGCAAGACGTACCAGTCTCTTGACATCTGCTTCAAGTTCTTGCAGGGACTGTCCAACTTTCTGGGTTCTTGTCTTTACTTGAGCTGCAAAAACCTGTCTCAGATGTTCATCCCCAAATCGAAGTTCCAGAGCAGCAGTTAGGCGACTATATCTGTTTCTATCTTCTTCAGATAGAGCTTGAAGTATCTCTAGAGCTGCGCCTCGCAAGGCTATTACCAAGGCTGTAGCTTTCTGTTTTTTTCCCAAAGATTCGCCGTCGCTGCAGCATCAAACTGCTGTTTGTACGATGACCAATGTGTCTGACCATCATAGGTGGGTGGTTGAACTATTCTGGGGGTCGACACCACATTATATGAACCAGATATTGCTGCATTTTTTATTGTCTTTTCAAATTTCTTCATTCGATCCTCTATAGTTTTCATTCGATCTTCCACACCTTCATGCACTGATTTTCCTAACTCACTCTTCAACTGATACTCCATTGCCATCATATTTCGTCCGACAATATTTTCCACATTTTCCAGGTTTGTTTTTACGTCCTTCATCTCTTCTCTGATTTCTTCTATTTCAATCTTGTTTGCTTCCACTTCCTTTTGAAATTTTTCACTTACACTGGTGATTATGTTATCTTTTTGCTTATCTATTTTTTTTGTCCATCTTTTCCATTCTTGCGTCCATTCTTATGTTCAGCTCTTCTATTGTTGCATTCATTCTTTGGTTCATTTCTTCCATGCTTGCGCCCATTCTTTCCATTCTTGCGTCCATTTTCTCCTCCATTTCTTTGTTTCTTGTGTCCATTTTCTCGTCCATTTTCGCGTTCATTTGTTCGCCTCTTGCATCCATTTTCTCGTCCATTTTTCCCAATCTTGCTCCCATTTCTGCAAGCATAGCCATGATTTTTTCCGCTATTTTCGCAACTTGAGCTCTCCTCTCGAGAGGCATAAATTCGTCAGAGTTTATCTGTCTAACAAAAATCCGGGACGGTAGACAGACGGACAGACGGACCGACAGACGGAACCGGGAGACCTATTTGTTCGTCCTCTAGGGGTCATAATAGGTCGAGAAAATGCAAAAGAATGAATTGCTCTCATCATAAAATTTTATTATGAGAAAATCATTTGAAATTACGTTTAGTATGGGCCCTTACCTGTAATTTAGCAATCCAAGACTATTTTTGTTTTGACTTACAGGAGTTATCAAAAAAAAAAAATAAATACCAAGCGTAAGATTAGCTTCAAGAATTCATGAAAACTACAAAATCAATACGTATTCTAATCTTTCGGTGTCATAAGAGTTCCACTCAAACTGATAAAGCGGAGATAAGACTACAAAGAAACATCTCTGAGGATCCGAATGAGAAACATACGGATTGTGGCGAAGAGGTGACCGTGCAATTTTTATCAGGAAAACATGACTGATTTATTCAGAGGTTTACATTCTATACTGTTTCTATTTCATGGTAGATACCTTGTTGCTTAACCACCTTTAAATGTATACAGTTTATGTACACGTAAAGGAATAAAGTTCAACATAATTCACAAATAAACACATTACACATACTTCGGTATTTATTGTTAAATTGTCTTATATACATTGCTGTTTTGGTTTAAAAATTTAAAAGTGAACTATTTATTACAATAAGTCTACCGTTTAGTCACTGGTTCTTAGAAATATTTCTTCGCATCAAAAGCCTTCACCAACGGGTTTAATGGTAAGCTCATGAACCTAGAAAAAGCAGAAATAGCAACACAAGACATAAACGTTTTAACATACTTGAACATGTTCTGGCGTAGATAAGGCATACACGACTCCATCAGCAATATCTTCACTTTTCAAACTCGGCATCTTTTCAAACATAGCTTGTCTATCTGGGGTTAGATTCGGATTTAAAGTCGTCATTTCGCTTTCAACCATACCAGGACTAACACTCTTCAAAAGACAAAGTCAACCATAAATCACAAAAATCACAATACCTACTCACGGTAATTTTGATTTTAAGACCTTGGTGATTTAATTCTTGTCGCAAAGTTTCAGTGAGAGCGGTAACAGCAAATTTCGACGCAGGATAAACATTTAAATTTGGGGCACTAATAATTTTGTGTCCCAAAACGCTGTTCACGTGTATAATATGGCCATTAATTTTGTTTTCTTTCATGACTTTCACAGCTTCTCGTGTGGCAATGCACAGTCCCAAGACGTTTAGATCAAAAATTGATTTCCATTCTTCAGTTTTGCCTTCTGTCAAGTTCGAATTAGAACCTTTTCCCGCATTGTTGATCAAAATATGAACTGGTCCTAAATTGTCTTTAGCCCATTTGAAGACTGTTAAAATATCTTCCTCTTTGGCAAAGTCAGCTTTGATGGCATGGAGTTTTCCTTTCTTGCCTGAGAGTTGTTTAGCACGTTCTTCTACACGTTCAGAACGGCGAGCTACCCCTAGTACCTAAAATCATATTTAAGAAATTTATTAAGTGAGATGATAAATGGGTTTACGATTAAGCCTTTTTCGACCAGAGCATCTGCAATAGCTGCACCGATTCCAGAACTAGCACCAGTCACTATGGCAACTTTGCCCACCCATCTATCCATGGAAAGAACCATTTTTATATGATGTTGTCGGTATGTGATACAGATTCGATCTAAACGGAACAGTCGCGAAATGTACTTATATAAAAATTGGCAATTATCTAAGTGTATGTAGTATGTGTATTTTATCATGACGCAGCAAGATTTAGCTACCTATTTTTATATCAGATAACTCGTTATTTTTAAATGTTGAAATTTACTAAAATGACAAAACATTTAGTATTTATTTAGAATTGTAATTAACACTTTATTGGACCACTGACACTCAAACAAAGCGCATCTTTAATAATAATACTTAGAAATTAGAGGATCATCAAATGTTTAAAATATAAAACGAATTCTAAAATTTTCCTAAAAAGAACTTAAAGATGAAACAACATTTATTTATGGGTTTATTTTTATCTCATTTTATACACACAGTGCTTTGTTTTCAATATTATACTCAAATACGTGTCGCAGTAAGTAAAAAATTTGCTGTTATCAAAACTTATCAGAGTGGACCGATAGTAAGCTCATGGATCTAGAACAAACGAAATAACTATATAATAAACAACAACTTTAACATACCTGAACATGTTCTGGTGTAGATAATGCATACACAACACCATTAGCAATATCTCCACCTTTCAGACGTGCCGAATTTTCCCTTAAAGCTTTCCTTTCTGAATTTAGATTCGAATTTTTATCCCCTTCACTTTCAACCATACTAGGACTAACACTCTGCAAAAGACAAAATCAACAACAAACACACAAAAACAACAAACCTACAGTGATTTTAATTTTAAGTCCTTGGTGGTTTAATTCTTGTCTCAAAGTTTCGGTGAGAGCGGTAACAGCAAACTTCGACGCAGGGTAAACGCTTAGTCCTGGATAATTGAACACTTTGTGTCCCAAAATGCTATTCACGTGTACGATGTGGCCATTGATTTTGTTCTCTTTCATAATTTTGACTGCTTCTCTTGTGGCAATGCTCAATGCGATAACGTTTAGATCAAAAACTGATTTCCAGTCTTCAGTTTTGCCTTCTGTCAAGTTTGTGAAAGCCACTATTCCGGCGTTGTTGATTAGAACATGAACAGGTCCCAAATTTTCGGTAGCCCATTTGAAGACTGTTAAAATATCTTCTTCTTTGGTCAGGTCAGCTTTGATGGCATGAAGTTTTCCTTTCTTGTCTGAGAGTTGTTTGGCACGTTCTTCTATACGTTCAGAACGACGAGCCACACCTAGTACCTATAATAGGATTTAAGAGATTTATTAATGGAGATAAAATGTGGTTTTACGATTAAGCCTTTTTCGACGAGGGCCTCTGCAATAGCGGCGCCGATTCCAGCACTAGCACCAGTAACTATGGCAACTTTGCCCACCCATCTGTCCATGGAAAGAACCATTTGTAATAGGAAGGTGTTGGTATGTGCTACACCTTGAAACTAAACTGAACTGTTTGAAAATCTACCTAACTATAAACTGGAAGTTATCTAGTTGTGTTTGTGATTTTTTGATACAGCAAGTTTTAGCTACGTATGTAGTTCATATCTGATAACTCGTTATTTTTAAGTGTTGAAAAATCGGTAATAAATATCGACACTAGCAAAGTACTTCGTAATAAAGCGTCGGATCATCACTTATTTGTTCACTATCCAATATTTAATAATGGATATTGATCAAACAGATAACTCTTAATCCGGCGGAAGATAAGTAATCGTTCGCAGTGTGCCCTTTAATATATATATATATATATATATATATATATATATATAGTTGTTATACCGCTTACACAGTCCCGACTCGCTATATCTAGTAAACGTTACCAGACCTTTTGAGACGTTACCAGACCCGGGTTCGGGTCTGATAACGTTTAACCATGTATATCGCCTTCTTGGGCCCAGTACAATTAAAAATTGAAATAAAAAAGTGGGTCTGGTAAAACTGTTGAACGTCAAATTTTATACAGAAATAGTTCATTCCCCTTTTCTGCAGAGGGCGTCGTGTCGCTTAGCTGTATATAATATCTGCCTGCATAAAATCGTCCACATCGGACCAACGTTACCAGATCCGTAAATCTGCAACACTGCATTCTAGCAGATCAGTTCAGTATTTAAGAAAATCATGAGTACTTTTCTTATTCTACTTGTATCTGACTGCTTGCATTAAGTAAAAATATGTTATTTGAATTAATAAAGAATTTTTACAATGAATCGTTTGAGGAATGGCTAGTTTCATGTTTTCTCGATGTTACATAACTCTTATTAGACCTAGAATATGAAAAATTATGTCTTTCATTGCCATTTGTCCGCCGTTCTTGTTAGAGACAATTTCCAAAATTATATACTATACAGATTATTTTGAAATTCAAGATACAGTTTAGGATTATCGTGGAGACGGGGGTAAAATGCTTATTAACTAAATACATAATTCAGCCTTATGTTTAATAAAAATAATAAAAATAAGGTTTTTTAGTTGAAATATACCATATGTTCGAAAAAAAAAAAATAGCCCGGGACCGTAGCTATCTTATTTTTTTGAATAGATCAAATTAAATCATTTTAAATGTATTGCGATCTTAATTGTAAAACTGATTTTTAATTTTCTTTTTTTTGCCTATGACATTCAACTTTTGTTTTTTAAATGACATCCTAGATATTTTTTTTAAATCTTGTAAATTTTTTTTTCTGAATACATTGATGTACCATGTTTCGCATTTTGTTAAAAAGCTGTGGTAAAAATTAATTTAATTTTTATAGCAAGGTAACTGTAACTGAAAAATGTACCAAAATTTTTGTTACATAGCAAGTTTAACACGGTTTATAACACTTATTAATGTATAGGAGTTTTAAATTTGAAAATTAAACTTCTATACGAAAACATTATTAACTCAAGACATTTTATTGCAAATATGATGTATTAAATTATTAATGTTTGAAAATATTAACGTATTATGTACACTATGATACATCAATAAATTTAGAAAAAATCTCTACATGAATCTTAAAAAAATATTCAGGGTGTTTGGTGTAATTTAAAAAACAAAAGTTGTATGTCGTAGATAAAAACAAATGAAAGTTAAAAATTATTTTTTTTAAATCAGATCGTTGTATTTATATTTAGTAGACGATATATGTAAATTTTTTGAAAAATTATAAAAATTATACAACATTTGACAATTAATTTCAGAAATTAGAAAACGACTCCTCAAAATTTTGCATAATTATGCCTTAGTGCTCATTCACAATGGGCATAAAGCATAAGGATGTCATAAGCATTAATGCATATGGATTTATGTTTAGTGCTCTATGGTTGTATTCGTTCACAATGAGCATAAGTGCTCATTCACAATAGGCATAAAGCATAAGGATGTCATAAGCATTATGCTCATTGTAAACGAATAGAAGCATAATAGAGCACTAAACATAAATTCTTATGCATTAATGCTTATGACATCCTTATGCTTTATGCCCATTGTAAATGAGCATTTACAGTTATAATGAACGTGGTCAGGTCAGGTCACCAAAGCGTTTAACTGAATGTAATTTGAAAAGTGCAAAATTGTATACTTCTGCAAGTGTAGATTTTTTTAATCCTCTCTTATTTTCAAATTCGCTATAATGATCTACGTATCCATATTTTACTTAATTTTTATTTGAAGATAGGAACTTGATTATATTCTAAATTAATTGATTCTCACTTAATATTAATTGACAGAGATCATTCTTTTAGCTACATCTAATTTGTACATCTATTGGTAGATTTCGACAACAATCTTTTTAAAGCAACATTTAGTTTTATTTATTTCTGTTCGTTAGAATTTCGCATTTAGTTAATTTTTTACTTACTGAGCGTAAGTAAAAGAAGTATTGTAATCAAGTCCATCGGCCGACTCTCTACTTCTACGTTTTTTCGACCTTTCATTAGCCCTACAGGACGAAGAAATAGGTCTCCCATTTCCGTCTGTCCGTCTGTCTGCAGCCCCGGATTTTTATTAGGCAGATAATCTCCGAAAGTTCGGGGCGATTGTTGTCAAATTTTGTATTTACCAATATATTAGGAATATCATGTAGATGCTAAAACGCTAACCAAAATTTGTCTAATCGTCCTCACCAACAATGTGATGACGTCACTTTAAAATTGCACATAGTAAATGGGTTTTAAATTGTATGAAATAACATAGTCCTACACATGTAGTTTATGACTCCGTATTGAGTTTTATCCGAAAAGTGCAGAATTTTGGAAAAAAATCAAAATTATGAAACATCAAAATTTTGCGGTATAAATTTTATTCACATTTTTTGAATTTGCATAAACAGGATGACACAAAAAAATTATTGAATGCGTGATTTATTTTATTAATTTAATCAGGAACTGCAAAACCGAATGTTTTAAAATCATGGAGATCTTTAAGATTATCATAAACATGGTAAATCTTTGATCAGAATGTATTTGCTCATCCACCCTAAAAAACAATTGATGACATCACCTCAAAATTTTGCTAAATAAATCCTATCTTAAATATACAAAATATGATGACTTTATACTTGTGATTTATCACTGCATTAATATTTTTTAGATTTGGTTATACAGCTGTCTCAAAAAAATTAATGACTGAAAATTAGTATTTTCTTAAAATTAAAAAAATAAGGCTTGGCAAACAGGTATCAAATTCCCGCAAGGGTGTCCAAAATGCGAGGATAGCAGTTTTTTGTTCCATAGCAACCTATCCTTTAATAATTTTTGGAATTATTTTCGCAATAATTTATCGGTTTGGCTACCAGACGTATTTCGGAGATGAAATTTTGCATACGGTATTTATTTTTCATGTTTAATCAAGTGATGCAAATTAATTAAACTTAATTATTTCAAAATTAAATTAAGGCATGGAAAATTTACTTTTTCAAGATAATCATTATTCTCACCGGTTCATATTAATCCACATCTATCAAAATACCTACATTTCAAATTTCATAACAATCCGTCCAAAAATACCTGAGTTATTGTTACGTGGGACACCCGGTATACTTAGATGGGAAACAGACAATCTAGAGAAAGATGAAAGTCTTAAAATGTGTCTTAGCAAGCATAAGGATTATTTTGCAGAATTCATATGGTTCAGACAAAATATGTACACGAAAACTAAAATGACACATGGACTTCACATGCACTAATTTCATTGTAGCGTTTGCCACGCTAAGTATTATTAAGGGATCGAGATCCTTCGAGGGCCTGTAAATTTGCAAACGTTTTATGCATTGAGTTTTGACACTAAGATTACCGATAATTCATGAAATTATTTTTTTCTATTTAACAATATAGACAGAGACAAGCAGAAAATTATAGAGCATTTTGTTGTGCTTCTAAAGCTGCTTAAAACATTTTTTGGTGATTCTGTCTCGAAATCATTCATTAATTACGGCTATTAATAAACGATTTATATATTAATGGGTTAATACAGCAATCAGATATACCCCCGCGCACTTGATGTGAAATTTTTTATTTAAATGTTATAAATATCATGAAATTTGGAACTGATTTTTAGCAGTTTCGTGTATGAAATTGCAATCACCAGAGAAGTATTGCAACCAACTCGTTTGTTAATAGGCGATTATTAATCGCCCTTATTAACAAGTATTGATTAAATAATTGCTATGGAGCATTGTAACTATTTTGAAGAGGGTCTTTTTATTACTAGTTTAGCGTTCTAAAATTTTTTAATTAATAATTTGAAATATTAAAGTTACTCTTAAAGAATATGCAATTTTAGATCTCTAAATCAATCTTAAAGTTTCTAACACATATTGTACCATTTTGTGGTAAAAATTTCGATTTTTTTAGCATGTTAATATTAAAAAATCTTAATTTGTGATTTATGTTAAAAACTTTATGAAATAAACTAGAAAATTTTTGAGCTAACATTTTTTTTACAAATCCGTAAGCCTAAGGTCAAATAAAAATTACATTAATAAATCGCAAGTCTAAAATTATGTTATTTTATAAATTTTCTTAAAATTTTAGGTGGGAATAGGTATCCAAATTTTGGTTGAACTAACTCGATAGACATGTACAACTAGTAAAAAGAAAATGTTACTAATGTCTATCAGACTTGCATATCTGTTAATAAAAAAATCGCCTTGGCGTTTATTTTATTAATGAGTTATCATTAATGGCACTCATGGCGTCAAAAAGACAGGTAGATAAGATATATTTTTGGTTTTCCTTATTTTCTTTTGTGACACTTTTGCATATCCACTGGTTGTAAATCCAACTTTCAAGATACACAAGAAATTTTATAGATCAATACAATGTGAAGCGATTTTCCATAAATTTAATGTGGCAACAATGTCGGGATTGATAACGTCGGTTTACTGTGTTACGTATACTGAAATGGGACTGAGAAAGCGGTTGGACATAGTGGGTCTGGTAACGTTGGATGAATATGGTGTTAACTTTTTTCAAGGAATAATTTTACCCCTCTACTTTTTTTTAAGTTTGTTATTGCAAAAACCATTAAATTTATTATATTATACTCGGAAAAACAGCCGGGCTTCGTAACGTCTGTTTAATATGTT